ATTCATAAATTCCAAATCAATAATTTAATTTAATATAATAAAGGTTAAAACTTTTTACATCAGCGTGTATTTAGGGGTGATGTAATTGTTACCGTAGTTCTTACAAGATGACCTATTGTTGTATAAAGCAGCCACGCGCCTGAGATAAAAAAAACGCAAGGGTGAACCCGTCAGAGAAATCTTTTATGACATCACAATAAGGATGCTGTTTATTTTATATTTCATCGCCTCTAGTGAGAGAACATTATAGACTTTTGTAATGTTTTTAAGGGTCGTGCTATGAAGTTATTTTTAGTATTTTTTGAGAGAGATTCTTTTGTATTTATAACCATAGTCGAGTGAACACTACTACACTTACTTACCTAATTGTTTTAATAGATCGACAACTGATTGTGAAATACGTTAATTCAAAATCTCTAGGCCTATTATGAACTGACAGCTAATTGCGATCTCCAACTTTTCTCCTCATCTGACAACCAAACTACTAATAATTGTCAGAAAACTAATATAATAATTATCATTACCCAAATAAGTAAATAATTTTTAATATAAAAAATAAACATATCAGTAAATAATAGAAGAATGAGTATGTCCTGTCCACCCCAATGAATTAAATAGTTTTACAACAAAACCAGTGTGACCAGTTTTCACTTGTGGGAACCGTGTCCATAACAATTTGCATTAGGGATAACCGACCGACGGCTAACACAATCGATTCTTACTCGATTCACTTATGTATTCAAAGCCCCATCCCTACACTTGTTTTTTTGTGAAGGGTTTTTTCAAACATTAAGTAAATATTAAAATGATATTTTACGATAATTAAAATTAGTATAATATGGTTTAAAATATTTTTCAAAAACTTTAAATTTAACGAACGAGCTAGACTTTATCCTAAGGAAATGTGAATATGCAGTTTTGGCTTTAGTTACTTTTAGTGTTTTAAAAAAAAAATAACGAAGTCTTGATATTATTTTTGTCAACAAACTTGTTTCTATGATAAGTTTATTAGTGAGAACTAATAGTTGATTATTTTTCAAGCTTTAATTACGTGTTTAATATTATATTTTATGCCACTTATTAAAGTTGCACTTGAATATTACTTTTATAAAATTATATTTTATATATTTCTTGTCTCTTTCGACTTTTTTATTCATTGACTAGCGCTAGCAAGTGATGTTAAGAAGGGTTTGTTAAGAAACTACCGTTCAACAAACCCTTTACTAATTCATCAAGTACAATAGAGTATGCAAATAAGGTCATGACTTTTGATGCATCTTTAAATATTGTCAGTATTGCACTAGCTGTTGCAGAGGTCACTTCAAATTAAAATTAGAATTAGTGAAGTCGTCATATCGAATCGTATAGTTTACCAGCTACATATTGCGAAGGAAAAAATAAAAATCAGTAAATCTGGTGAAGAATATTTTAATTAATTGTTAATTTTGACTACAGGACACTGATATAAGGTAAGATACACTGTTATTTTATTTAAGTTGGTTATATAATTTTTATGTATAACTACCGAATAAGCATAACTATATGTTGATTATGATTTTTTTAATATATCAGTTATAGATTTGAAATAATTGATTAAATTGGTTAAAATAAGACTGAATGGTTGACTAATCGATTAACATGTTCTTTATAATTAAAATATTCTATGGGTCCTAATAAAATAATGGAAGGGGATGTTTCGTGGTCACGTCGCTTGCTTGATTCCATTTTTTTTGGATTTTCTTAATGAGTTTTTTTTTCGTTTTTTTTTTGTGTTTTATGGTTTTTTGTTTATTCTGGCTCGTTCATCCTGAGGCGGGCGAAGTCCTCGAAGACAATGTTATCTTCTTCCTCGTTGGTGTAGAGCGAGTTCTCATAGCGGTGTCGCTCGATGGATTGCATCTTCTTCATGGCGTTGAAACGCTGGCGTTCAACAGTGCCTAGTAATCAAAAAGAAAACAAAAATTTAAAAATATTCTATTATTTGTAAGCATATGAAAAGATCTGAATCTGAATATCATTGCGTTGCTTACCTTCAGCTGGGTGCAGAAGCTTGAATGGCACATCAGTGACAAGTTCACCACCAAGAGTTCCACAGTTCAGCTTGACGCGGACGGAGTACGAGACAACGATACCAATAGCATCAGCAGGGCATTTGCCTTCGCAGACAAGGGTCGAGCTGGCTAAGTTGACATCATCTTCCTTCAGGTGTCCGTCCAGAGCGACTCCTGCAGGAAAATGTGCGTTATCGTAACACGTTTCTTTGTTGTAAAGTATGTTATACAGCGAAATATTACATAGACAAGGGTACTAACCGCGGACGTCCTTGTTGCTGCGAGCCAAAGGAACGAGGTAGAAAGTCTTGGACAAGCTGGCTCCAGGTGTAACGGGGCATCCCTCTCGGCTCTCAAGGGAGGCAACGTGGCGGCTGAACTGCGAGTTGATCATGGTAATTTCGACATGCTGCACAACCATGCATCGGATGTTGCGGACGGATTTGCGGGAGTTGTTAGAGACGATCAGGTTGGCGGCGATCTTCTCTCCATGGTAGTAGATTTCCTTGTCCAAAGTGACCTCAAGGCTGATCTTTCCGTTGCTGAATGTGAAGCCCTTGCTGACGAGGGAGCTAGGAAGGCGGCGTCCACGAGAGGCAGGAGCATGTTGCAGCTACAGAGAGTATAAAAAAAGTTTGTAGGTTAAAGTTATTCAGATATTGATATTATATGGTTATGCCATATTAAACTTGGTGGTATTACCTTCTTGATGGCAAGAGTAACAGAGCTCCTCTTGTGGCTCTTCTGGTCCTCGCTTTCAGCAACGTAGGTACGAACACAGTATTCAACGCCCATAGGCTTGCCCTGATCTTCCTCGGATGGTTGCAGTGTTACCTGCGAAGATGCTATTTGGTTAGAAAAAGTATTGCGTGGTGTAAAATATAAAAATAAATAGAGCCATGCGTACAGAGCTTGGTGACATCTCGGGGAAGCTGAAGGTGAATGGGAAGGCATTAGGTCCAAGTTTCTTCAGCAGTTTCTCTTGAACGGGTGTTAATTCCATTTTTGAGTTGATCATGGGTACAACTTGTTCCTGGCCAATCACCATCTCCTTGGAAAACTTCACTCCCATGACTTCATCTTCCTCCCTACCGAATCGGTAGGTAGTGACGAGCTAGACAGAGAGAGGGCAAACAACATAGTTTTTAAGTCGGTTACGAACCGTAAACTGAAACTCTTGTTAGCACTTCACTGAATTTACCTGGCTGTAAACTTTCCTTCCTTTCAGATATTCCGTGTCGACAACCACAACTCCATCGATCGGATCGCAGTAATCCACATGATCAATGAAGTCGCGCTTGCCAAGGTAGACCGTAACTTTTCCATTTGGAGTTGTTTTCTTAAAAACCTTAACCGCGACCACGAGGACTAAAGATAGGAGATCAAGCATTTTGCTTGTTTTATTTCACTGGAATGGGACAACTAAAATATGGTTGGACGTTTGATTTCTTCAATTGAAGTGATGGTTCGAGACCCTCACCAGAAATGCTGACAACCGGAATATGCTGCGCTTTTATAGGCAGACATGTGAGGTTTCATGCAGAATTAAATAATGTTCTAATAGGATTTGTGCCGTGGGAGTACAAATTGGATTAAAATCGCGTGACGCATTCTCGCAATAATTGAATCGATAATTTTGTATCGATAATTTGAAACTTGACGAAAATGTAAGTATAGTAACACTGACTGACGTATTGTTTTGACAATTACAAGAAAATTGAACTGTAAGGGTTAGGATTAGGACATTAAAAACAAAAGTTTTATAAGAATTCCTATATAGAGTAATATGTAAACCAGATTCTTATAAGTTTCCGTAACAAGGGTGATAGCAAGAAATGTAATTTTGTGCCAGACCGAAAAAGTTAGTATTTAGTTTAAAATAAAAGTCATCACCATTACTTTGTTATAAATACTTTATTCTCGTTGTTATGGCCGGCAGCTAGAAATAATGTTTGTAATCAAAATAAGCTGCAAACAATAGTATGCATACAAAGTTATAAAAATGCAATGAATTTTGACGTTATTTAGAAAAAATCTTTATTTACTGAGACTTGAGAAAAAAAAAGAGAATAACAATAGGATTTAAAGAAACGAATACGTTATAAATAAGATTCATTCTTATTGGAAAACATTGTTTGGTATGATAGCATTTAATCTAAGGGTCCAGATAAAACCTAGTTTACCTCTTTTACTTCCATTTAAAGAGTTATAATTTTTCTTAGATATGGTTATTCTATTGTGACCCCCACAAGTATAACAGCTAAATCATTTAAGCTGTCCAAAGTAAATATTCAGTTGTCTAGAAAGTACATTTTTCAACTTATTTCAAAGGTTCTTTATTCTATTCTAAGACACTTACACATAGTTGGGAAGGTCCATCATATAAAAACTTTAGAGAAATGCTTGTTACTACCTTGCTAGAAACTAGATAATAATTGTATTATGTAACACTTGAATTCAATTACTTTGATACTGTGGCCTACCAATCAATCAGCTTATTTACCAAAAAATTCTCACTGGGCTGTTTGCCTTATGGCCTAATGGAAAACACCCTCAATATATATTGTGGTCTTCATTTTGTTGAAGAGAATGAGAGGGATGGTTATGTTTTAATATAAGTATCATGGCAGTTAAACTCTATGATAAAACTTTGAAGAGAATGTCTACATTTCTTTTTTTTTATGTTACAGCTATACTCTCAGCATGCCGACCTTCCTGACACCAGGTAGGCATGGCTACAATGTGCGGTTCTCACGTAGACGGCCTGACTCTCTTGCGGTAGCAACTAGTCAGTACTATGGGTTGGCTGGTGGTGGAACATTGTTCTTCCTTGAACTGGCACCAGACGGTACTACAATAATAGAAGTACAGAAACTGGAGTGGAGCGATGGACTCTTTGATGTGGTGAGTTGTGTTATCTTTTTTACATAGGAAAATTAACATAGTTTTTCTAAAAAATTTAAGTTGTGTTAAGAGATTTTAAGCAAATGAAATAAAGTTGAAAAAATTCCTTTTGTATATAAATTTTGCTATGAACCATGATTTTATTTATGTACAGAAATGTTATGTAAGACCTAACATTTTATACACTTTGTATACTATCATTCTTTTTATCTTTGATCGGAAACTATGTGTTCTTTTTACTAGGCTTTATTGTTGTACTTATATTTCATAATAAAATAAAATAATATTTTTATTTCTGGTTATAATTGTTTATGGGTGGTATTGACCACTTTACCATCAGCTCAACAGCTTGCCTAAATGCTGAATTAAACTTATTATCTTGCTGTAGGCAAGGCAGTTATTATCTTTGAGAACCCACAATAATATTATGCATCCTGTTGCTCATTTGCTATAGATCACAACCAATTTACAACTTTAGAAATATTTTAATCTTACTAATATTATAAATGTGAAAGTTTGGTGATATTACTTATCTCTAGAATAGTAAAATGGATTTCGCTGAAATTTAACATACATATGGAAGAACAAATACAATTTATTATCACTCCACACTGACGGAGTCTCCGGTTACAGCTAGTCTAAACAGTATAATATTTAAGTTGATGATGCCGGCGATAATTTTATTATCGTTAAATATTCTTCCAAAAAATCTGTACATACAAATTGCAGTGATTTCTGGAAATTTCCGTTTTATATAAGCCATTGTAAAAGCAGCGTAGTTTAGCGACAGGACAAGACCTGTGAAGCCTTACTTGCGCGGTGTTACGTGTGCATACCTTACATCAGCGTATAAGAGGCTTATTTATTTCTTTGCGTGTACATAACATAATTATTTACTACAATTACCAAGAAAATGGTTACATAGACGCAATTTATTGGATTAACTGATTGTTGGCAGGTGCACTTTGTGATTGGTTGTTATTTTTATTTTTAAATATAATTCTGTCTTGCAAATATGTGTTTATTATTTTAGTGCTGTCTAATTCTTACTTAGTCTTTTCTTTGCTGAAATATACAATTGATTAGACATTTTGCCGTGAGGACTACCTCAAGCAAACTATAGTTCTGGCTTCATTTTCTTTTTATCTCAAGCCTCTTCCTCTTCTCAACTCTTCCTTCTCTGCTCAAATAGTTGCCTTATTAACTGTCTGTAGAAGTTTTAAAAATAGTAGAACCTGTTGCTAGTAGAAAAGTGGTCTTTAAAAGAGGGATTGAATTGTAAGTATAGACGTTATATTTTTTTTTTGTATTAGGCGTGGTCCGGTAGTAGTGACGGTGTGGCGGCGTGCGGTGCGGGAGATGGTACCGTGGTGATCTGGCGCGGTGGTTGTGCGGCCGCGTTACGTGTCCTGAGGGGGCATCGTAGTGAAGTCTGCTCTGTTGAGTGGCCGCGCTCCCACATCCTTAGTGCAAGTTGGGATACTACGGTTAAACTGGTAAACAATTGATATGTTCCTTTGCAGATGTGTATAGTGTCATTCAAACTTTATGGTGGCTCGCAATTTTGCATTCGCAGTAACTCATATGCAGTGACAACCGCACGAGCATTCATAAAGTTTGAATATGTATATGTGCAATATTGAAATGTCGGACGACCATTATAGTGGGATCCGGAATCAGAGGCGTGTATCAGCACATTCGCGGGTCATTCTCAACTGGTGTACACGGCAGCCTTCTCCCAGCACTCGGCGGCAACATTCGCCTCTGTGTCGGGCGATGGACATCTCAAGATCTGGACATGTATGGAGCCTGTGCGACCTGCTGCTGTTGTTAAGGCCCATGATGCTGAGGTATGTTCAACATATTCATACTATACGCCTCACTAGCAATGTTTATAGTTATAATGAAGTCCTAAATGAATCTTACTAATTTAATAAATGCGAATGTTTATATGGATGGATGTTTGTTTGAAAGTATCTCCAGAACGGCTGAACGGTTCGAAATTTGGCATACATATATAACATAGTCTGCAGAATCACATTAATTAAGTGTGTTTCCCGTTGGCTCGATCGGCCTAATGGCAATAAAATTCCGATTGGATCAACCAACCAGTGGATAGACCGGCCCAACAGAAAACACTTTGTTAAAGTTTATCCGAAGATTGTGAAAAATGAATTTTGCTCAAAGATCGATTAGTCTTGCAATAATTTTAGCAAATAGTTGAAATTTGTTACTAATAAGTAACATTGAATAGAAAAAATTCATGATTTTTTTAAATATATTAGCATTTGTTGCTCTTTGTATTATTATAAGGGTATTTTGTGGTTATTAATTTTGTTTATAATGAATTTTGAAGGTGTTATCGTGTGATTGGAGTAGAACAGAGAGCCATGCTCTGGTGACAGCGGGCTCTGATGGTTTAGTGAGAGGCTGGGATTTAAGACGGCTCACCACACCAATGTTTACTCTCAAAGGTATGTAAAATAATTAAAATAAACTCTATATTGTAATAATTATAGTTGATTTTAACAATGAAATGACTTTAGGCAAATATAATCTTAACATATTCGAAAGAAAATTTTAAGTTTTTTTTTTATTTTATTTTTAAATTTAAATTATTCGAATGTTTGGATGAATGGATGCATGTTTGATAGAAAGTATTTCCGGAACGGCTGAACAGATCTTGTTAAAATTTGGCATAGATGTAAAACATAGTTTGGAAGAAAACATAGGCTACTTACGTTTTTTTTAATATAATTTAATATTTATATAATTCGATGGACGGAGCCGCAGGCTACAGCTAGTGTATTTATAGATTTATCAATGTAAGTCTTAATGACAGTTATTTAAAGTAAAGCCAATATAAAAGATTAAAATTCTTCTAGTCATGATGTGGGCGTAATATGGATATACGTCAAACATACGTACGTCACGACCTGTCTTGTTACAGTCTTTTGTGAACGCCTTTCTGAACAGGTTGTGTTTAATAAACTATTTTTCTACTAGTTTTTTTTTTAAGTTAGTACAGTTATTAGTTTGATTGGAAGATTATCATAAGATCTTATTTATCTTACTCTTTTAATCTTTTGATGGATCGATGGATGGATGTTAGAAGGTATCTTCAGAACGGCTGCATGGATCTTGTAATATGACATAGATGTAGAACATAGTCTGGAAGGACACTAAGACTACTAAATATCTTTTAATTAGTATATTTTAAGGTTATATATATTTCTAACAGCAATTTTTTTCATATGCAGGTTGCGAGTGCGCAGTGCGAAGGGTTCAATTCTCTCCGCATTCGCCGTCAGTGATAGCGGCCGTGTCCTACGACTTTACCACCAGGTAACTTTATCAAACGACTATTATATAACAAACTAGCTGTCGCCCGCGACTCCGTCTGCGCGGCATGCTAAAAAAGTTCCTACAGGGTTTTCCCGGCAATCATTCTAATTTTTCTCACCTTTTAAAGCTTCCTTAGACATTTCAAGACTAAG